CGCGCTGCCCAGCCAAGAAGACGTCGCGCTTGGCGGAAACTGGCGCCGTTCGTGGCCGCGTAGACCCAGAGACACCCTGTGGCCAGGTCGGCGCAGTCGCGGCGGCCGTCACCGCCCTCGCCGTTTGGGTTAGGCCCGGGCCCCAGCTGCGGGACCGGGTCGCGCGACACGCTGGCCCGGAGGCCGAGCACGCGCGGGGCAGGCAGGCGCGCGAGCGGCCAGCCCAGAGCGCAAAGCACTTCAATGCGCGACGGGCGCGGCGTCGAGCTGGCACGGCGGCGGCTCGGAGACGCGCGCGACCTCAGAGTCTGAGTCAGAGCGGTCTAGCGACGCATGGCCCCACCGGACGCGCCTCTTTTGCCTGGGTGGGGGCGGCCAGGGCGGGCGCCGACGGGCCCGCGCCGCGCCCTGCGGCGACTCCGCTGGAGAACGCCTTCTGGCGAGACCGCGCCCTCGCGGGGCGGGCCAAGGAGCCGGGGCCGAAGCGGGGCGGTCAGCGGTGGGCGCCACGTCGAGCAAGGGCTCGCGGGAAGCCAGCTTGGCGCCGGTAGCCAAGACAGCCCTCACGGGCGCAGGCGTCTCCGCGCGTTCAGGCGGCGGACGGGCTGGACGCGGCATCGGCGCCCCTCGGCCAGTGGCGGGGGTTGCAAGACATGCATGGAAGCGCTCCGCTCGGCGAGGGACGCAGGAGCCCGCGCCTGAGGCCCCACGCCCAGCCGCAGGCTGCGGGCGCCACGATGGAGTTCGCATGCCGCCTGGGGGCAGCGGCGGGCCCTGCGCCCAGGCCACGGCCGCGCCTCGTTTGCGCTGGGCCCACGGCCGACGGCAGCGGCGATGGCGATATCGGCCGCGGCAACGGTTTCGACATCATCGACGCCCACGGGGCCGCGGACGAGGGCCAAGTCGCCACGCCCACGGGAATGCCGGAGAGACCGCGCCCGCGAGAAGGCCTCCTCGGGCGCGAGAGGGGCGCGCGAGCAAGGCAGCCAGTCAGCATATACCCACCCCCTGTGGAGCGGCGCCTGCACAACGCACTTGGCCACAGGACACCCCACAGACGCACGCGCCCTGAGGGTCCCGCACAGAGAGGAAAGAAGAAGACAACTGCGGGCGCCCCCACCGGCCCGGCCCGAGACCCCCCCCCCCGACGACACATGGGCGGCGGAAGCAAACAGAGATGAAGAGAACCAGGCCAGGCAGACCTCGCAGCGACGGCGTTCCAAGAGAGGCGGCGGTAGAGAAGCGTCAAGATGTGCACCTGCGGGGAAGAAAATTGAAAATCTGACACGCGCACACAACGTCAAAACTATGGACAAAGGTTGGATTGCCCACTGCGGAGTGCGTCGCAGCGCAAGATGTGCACCTGACGGGAGCAACCGAGAATGCAAGAAGAATTGTTAGAGCGCGCGAGAGCTCGAGCACGTCGACGCGCGTCTCTCGACGCACACCCGCGGGGGGGGGCAGGACAATCGACGCGAGCTCAACCACTTGATTCCTCGAGGCTCAACTGGCCTGAGGAGCGGGAGCACCACGTGAGCTCGCCTCTGGATTCCTCGAGGCTAACTGCTACGAAAAGCGGGGGCACCGACGGCGCCGCCGGCCCGCCCCCCTGACACGAGACCACGCGAGAGAGGGAAACAAGAGGAAGGAAGGAGATAGGGGGAAGCACTGCCCCAGCCCAACACGGGCTGCTCTCAACGATTAGGGGCGCGCCGGCCCCGCCCAAAAGGGGCTGCTCTCATCGACGGTGGCTGGACTCTGGCCACCTCGAGCATGTTTTTTGAATGCTCCGCGATGAGAGGCGCCAGCGCGCGGGTCTGCGACCCCCCCGCAGAGGCCTTTTTTCTCGCGGCGAGAAGAAGGCGAAAGAGACGAAGGGAACGGACCCGACTCTTGGGAGACGCGGGGAGGAAAATTCCCACGACCCTTAGAGGCTGCGGGGTTGGAGGAGAGGAGGAGGAAGGGGGGAAAAAGGAAAGACCCCCCCGGAGAAGGACATCCTTGCAAGCAGAAGAATAGAGATCTGCGCGCAGCTGCTGCGGGGCCCACCGCGAGGACTCAACCTGCCGTTGCGGACGCTGCGAGTTCTGCGAGGAAGAATAACCTGAGCGCGGCTGCGACAACCATCAACCACAAAACAGAGCAAAGGTCACGGGTCAGCTGCGGGTACCTATAGGCCCCCGTCATCGACGCCTCGGAATCGTCAGCGCGAGCAGTGTAGACCCAGCCCCCGCTTGCCTTGTTCGAGCCTGGGAGAGGTGACAAGCGGCAAATGCATGGACAGCGGGCGCCCCCGCCAGCCGGGGTTACTTTTCGCGATTAGGGGAACGAAATGCTAGTCCTGCGTGAGACCCGCCGCCGCTCATACCTCGGCCAATCGGACTTCGGGGGGGGGGGGGGGGGGGGCGAAATCGCACGCCGCAGTCGGGATCGCCAGCCTGCAGGCTTGGGCCCGCGCATTATGCAATTATGCCAAGGCGCTGGCACTCCGCAAACAATCACGGACAATACTTCCGCAAGCAATTCGCACGCGCCCAAACGCATCAAAACGTTAATCGAAAACCGTTCGGCACGACGCAACTTCCGGCAATCGCTCCAAAATGCACGCGCGCATGGCGACAACACGCACAAACAGAAGCGCGAGGAGACAGAAGACAGGACACATGGACGGCGGGAGGGAGAAGCCATGGATGGGTGGAGATAGCGAAGGACAACAGAAAACAAGAAGAGGAGGGCGCCGAGGTGCACCTGCAGGGAGGCGGAAAGCCGACCCCCCCCCACGACGAGAGACGACGAGAGAGAATTACAAGTGAAGACCTGGAGAATGGGGGACACTTCGGGAACAATGCAGACCCGAATTCACATGATATCAGGATCGAACTGGTGATAGCAACTGATCAACTAGACAGCGTAAACCGTGTAACGTGAGCCACCCCAGACCTCATAAATGGACGATGCTCATCCATATATGCGTCGAATATGTGATGCCAGCATCGAAATAGTAGTCATGGGGATGGTGCTTTGCATAAGTCATACGCAGACGCCCCCCCCCCCCATGAAAGTAATATATGCGCATCATGTTCGATAAGCCTGATGGCAGACAATAGATTGATAACGGACCGTCCCGTCATCTGAAGCTATTGCGCCGTCCTTCGATTGGCGTTGCACAACTCAATGGGCAAAGAGATCCGTCGCATCACCTGACGCAATTGCGCCGTCCTTCGCGTGGCGCGGCACAAGCACAACTCAGAATGAGCAAAAACGTAACGATGGTTACATGGCCCAAAGGGCAAAGCAAGAATGGCTAATAACCTGTGAGAGGGATGAGCGAGCAAGACAACCAGTCAGCATATACCCACCTTTGTGGAATGGCGCCTGCACAAGACACTTGGCCGCAGGACACTCCACAGAGACGGGTGCGCCTGAGGGTCACGCACAGAGAGGTGAGAGAAGAGGACACCTGCGGGCATCCCCACCGGCCTGGCCTGAGACACCTTTCACATCGGGAGCGGCACAGCCCCACCACCGCAGGGATGTCTGCGACCCCAAGGGTAGAGCTTTGGATGGGTGGCAAGCGCTCTTGTTGACGGCAAAGACCTCCCCAGACCCCCTACGTCATGATTGTGCAAGAACGGTGATTCCCAGAAAGGTCTCGACCCATTTCCCGGGACTGGTGGTTTTTCATCCTGAGCTGTTTTTTGGGACGGTCCCGGAGACCGGCGAGGGCCCCCAGAGGCCGAAAATGGCGAACAACCTCCCGTCGTGACTTCTGCGTGACTCGAGGGGATCTGGGTCAGGAGCTTGGTTCAGGTCGGGCATGTCCTCCTACAGGCGGATTTGGCGGGGGGAATTGCAAAACAAAAAAAAAAAAAAAACTCCAAAGAAGTCCCGGGAGCACGAGACATCGACCCCAGACTATGTTTCTACTATTCCTGAGAAATCCTCCCGTAGAATTGGAGGCCTGGTAATTGGCACCAACACCAGCACAGGGGGGGGCCTCCACATGGGGAAGATGATCCCAGATTTCGGTGTTGGTGGTAATATTTCGGTCACCTTGGAAGCCAGAATATTACCACCATCACCGAGATCGGGATCGTCTTCCCTCGGTGGAGGCACGCCGCCAGTCTTGGTGTTGGTGCCAACCTCTGGGCCTGCGACAGCAGGACCTGCCCGCCGGGAGGTCAGGGGGCCCGGCCCGATGCGCAGGGGCGGGACGGGCTCGGCACGCGAAGGACGACGGCCCCGACGCGGGGGCCCTCTGCGCCGCGGCCCCGAGGGGGGCCGCCTCCGCGGAGCCCCGCGGGGCCGCGGCAGCGGGGGGGGGGGCCGCGGCAGCGGGGCGAGCGGACGCGTAGAGGCCCTGCACAGGTCCCTGGCCCCGGCAGCACGCCGCCGCGGGTCTGGCCCGAGCCCCCCCCTGCTGAAGGAGTGATGAAAAAGAGTGGAGATGTGCGGTCATCGCGCTACCAAAAGGAACGCCAAATGAGGAAAAGGAACGAATGGGCTCCTCTGGCCAAGGCGGGCCTGGCTTCCGGGAGAGGCCTCCCGAGGCAGCAAACGCCCACGGCAAAGGTGAAGGACAAGCGGAGTAGCCCCGCACCAACCAGGCCAGACACACACACACACACACACACACACACACAAAAAAAAACAGAAAAAGAACTCACACAAGCGCTTCAGAAGTGGTGGAAGGAGACAAGGAGAGATGAGGACAAGAAAGGAAGAGGAAGATGATGCAGAGGAAGAGGATGCAAGGAAAGACGAAGGCGAGGAATAGGAGGAGGAATAGGAGGAGGCAAGAGGAGAAGGGGGTGGAGGAGGAGGAAGATGGAGGAGGAGGAGGAGGAATATGTACCTCCATCCCCCTATCCCGCATTAACCCTCCACCTCTCACGCCCCGACCCCCCTACCCACGCCCCTCCTTCCTCCAACAGATCCCCCTCCTCCGTCGCCCACACTCCACAGGCCCCTTTGGCACTGCACGACTGCAGCGTGGGCTCCTTCTTCAGGTAGCCCACGACCAGGTCTTTGGTCACGCCGTCCCTGTCGATCCTCTCCTCGAGCGTGCTGCCCGCCCGCCGCGCCTCGGTCTGCCGCGCCGTTGCCCTGGCGCCGCGCCAAACGAAGCACAGAGCAGGGCGCACGGAGGACTGACCGAGAGGGACTGAGGACGGGTCACACGGATCGGATCGGATGGAGGACAGGGACCCGGGGGGGGACCGTACACGGACATGATATTCGAACCCTGTAGCCCAAGGTGCCCCCCAGACACCCCGACATAAAACATGGATGGCGTGGCGACGGGGGTGGCGTGAGTGGACAGAAGTATTCGAACCCCAAAGCACCGCCTTTACTGAGATCAACATTGATGTCGGGGGCGCGGGGGTGATTTAGAGTATCCCTGGAATGTGTAAGGGTTCAAATATATTTCCTCTACTGGAGGTAAAAAATGGAGGACAGGCGGTGGAAGATAGAGGACGTGGAATGAAAGACGGGCGGTGGGGGACGCAGGATAGAGGACGATAGTGCATGGACGATAGCGGACTGTTGACAGAACATGTGAGGGATAAGTGGAAGGGCGGGGGAGAAGGAATAGAGGGTGCGCGGCCGAGGACGACGATGGTGATGAGGGGGGGACGGCGGAAGGGAGGCGAGGGGGGAGGGGAGGAGAAGGGACTGAGAGAGAAAGCGGGGGAGAGGAAAGGTGAAGGAGACGCGGATACGATGCCCCGACGATGGGCGTAAATGAGTCTTGAGCTTCGCAGTGGTAACAGAGCTCGAACCAGAGGCCGCTGCGGAGGGCGCGCCGACGCGGCCGGAACGCGCGCCATCTCTGCGGATCCGCCCAGCGGTGGGACCGCGGCTCCCGTGGAGGCGGCTGCGGACGCTGGTGCCTCCTGCCTGCTGCGGCGCCCTTTGGCGGCCACCTCCTCGGTGTGCCTCGGTCGCCCCCTGCGCTGCACGCTCGAAGTGCTCCCTGGGCGGCCCTGGGATGCCCGGCTGCGACCCGCTGGCCCGGGCGGGGGGGGGGGGGCAAGGCTTCGCGGCATTCCCCAGCAGCGAGGTGCGCGCCCAGGGTGGCCGCCCTGCCGTCGGGAGGGGAGGGGGCATGGAGAGGCCCCGGCGGCCCGCTGCAGCTCTCCACGGGCGCGCGCGCGCGCGCCTGCACCTCAGGAGGGTTTTTGCTTTCCGCCTGCCCAGCGAGCCGAACGAGTCAAACGAGCCTGCACCCCGAGGATGGGCGAGGCCAGGGCACGCCGCGAGACGCAGCCGGGCGGCGACTGCCGGCGGGCAGAGCTGGCAGTCGTCGCCGCGGTCCTCCCGAGGGCGGTCGCGGGCAGAGGGGAAAGGCGAAGCGGGCGAGAGGCGAGGGCGCGAGGGCGGCTCTCCGAGGGGGCGAATGCGAGCTGGCGTCCACGGAGGCCTCCCAGCTGGGGTCAGGGTGGGGTCGGAGGATCACGCCGCATCGCCGATGCATCACCGATGCATCGGCGAGGCGTCGGCGATGCATCGGCGATGCGTCTGCGTGGCCAGGATCTGGGTCCACCCCGAGCCGCATCGCCGAGGCGTCAGCGATGCGGCACGATCCTCAGGCCCCAGCCACTCTGACCCCGTCTGGGAGGCCCAGAGTCCAGCGTCGGGCCCGCGCAGGTAAAGGCAGCGACGGCGACGACAAGGGTTAAGTCGGGCCTCTCCCCCTACAGGGGGGGGGGGGGGGGAAATTTAAAAAGTCAAAAAACAAAAAAAACACTCCAAAGTGGACAACAAATAATCAAAAAATAATCCCCAGGCTATCTTTTTACTATTTTTGAATATTCCTCCTGTAGAGGGACAGGCCCGACAAGGGAGGGCGACGAAGGCCTGACGAGCAGAGGAAGCCCGAGCCCGAAGGCGGAGTGGCGACGCCGACGAGAGCTCGAGCCGCGAGCGGCGCCCGATATGCAAGCGGGCAGCGCTCGCCGCCGATCTCCAGAGCAAGAGCGCCTGCCCCCGAGGCAAGGCACGGATGCACGTGCGCACAGCTCACGATTTGGTCCGCGGGAGACGGGGAGGGAGGCGCGGGCAGCCGAGGATCCACGCTCCACCCGACTCGTCACGGCGCAGTGCCGAGACCTGGGCACGGGCGTGCACGCTGCAGCCAGAGGCAGATCGCGCGTGCTGGAACGCGCCACGCCCAGAAAAGACGAGCTGGACGGCGGATGCTTACTCTCGGCGGTGGACAAACCTCTCTTTAGCAAACCACCCTTGAGTGAAAACGGCCCAGGGCCGAAACAGGCGGACCTGGACCCGCAAAGATGACGGCCGCGACGCCCTCTTGCGAACCGAAAACGGCCAATGCGCTGATCGACGTGTCAGGGTAGGAGGTCTATCAACCTCCGACCCGTAATGAAATAATCAGGACAGCGCATGTCTGGACCCTCGTCCACAACCCCTTCTTCCCCCGTTCGGGGAGGAGTTCGTCACTGCTCCTTGCTAACATGCATCCCCTCCCCCACTCTGCCGGCCCCCACACCACCAGCGGCTCCTGCCGTGGCAGGCAACAGCAGCAGCAACACGTCGACCCGAGCAAGGCGCGGCGCAGAGCTCACAAAAGGCGCGGCGCCGAGCCGTGCCGGCCGGCTCTCGCTCGGCCGCGGCGCGGCGTCGCCGTGCCCTCCCCGCGCTCGGCCCTGGCGCGGCCGCACGCCACCCGCCCGGCGCGCGGGGTGCAAAAGCAGGCCTCGGGCCCCGCGGCGGCTATTCGCCATGCCGCCGAAGGGGGGGGAGAATCGGGGGCGCGCAAACATGGACTAGCGATCCATGGACTTGGCGCGCGGTCGCCAAATCCATGGATTTGGGGAGGTGCCCTCCCTCAAATGCGGCCGGTGCCGCCTCGTTCGGCGGCGGAAATCCACGACTTCCTATGGAAACGGGACCCGTCGCTAATCCACGCCCCCTTGATCCATGTTTGCGATCTCCCGAATGAGGGGGCGGGGGGACGGGCAGAACGCAGCTTCTAAGCACAAGCTGAGACACGAGGGGCGGGGCGCGGGGGCCCCCGGGCGTGCCGAGCTTGCCAGAGGATGCGGCAGCGCACGCCCGACACGGCTCGCCGCGGGAGACGAGCGCCACGGGCACAGTCGAGCAGGCGCGAGACCACCGAGCAGTCCCGCGAACGGGGCGCGCAAAGTTGGCAGGCATGGCGCAGGGGCGGGCGATGTAACGTCAGGACGGCAGGCGCTCTCGCCCGGCCCTGAGGCGGTCAACCAGAAAGGGGCAAGCGGGCTTGACTGATCCTTTTTCCTGGCCGCTCTCTGGACCCACTCCGCCCAGGGCTCGAGCCCGTCGTCGCCATCGTCATCGTCGTCGTCTCCGTTTGGGTGGCAAATCCTGGGTCTACTTGTAAGTCGGGCATGTCCACCTGCAGGGGGATTTTGGACGAAGAATAAAAGATAGTCCAAAAATACCCCACAATGGCGAAAAATGCTAAAAAATCGTCCCCCTGGGTATTTTGTTCACTGTTTTGGAGTATTCCTCCTGTAGAGGGACAGGCCCGACTTAAGTCGACTGGTGGAGCTGCACCAGCATAGAGCTCACGCAAGCCATCACGCTCCAAAGATCACGGAAACCGGCACGCCCACGGGGCAGCCGGAGACAGAGGGGCGGCCGCAGGGCGCGCGCAGCTCTTCTCAGAGCGGGCGGGGCAGAGGAGAGCGGGCGGCGAGCCATCGGGCGCGGAAACGGGAAGCGAGAACGCCGACGAGGGCGGTGGTCTGGGCGAGCAGAGGGCGGGGGCTCGGGTGCTGCCAGCAGTGCCCCTGGCCCAAAGGTGCCCCCAGCTTTTCGCTCCACTTCTGAGCCCCCTGGGGCCCTCTGGGCCTCGTGGTGGGGTGCCCTGGAGGCCGTCTGGGCCACCCCGAGAATCCTGGGGGCACCCTGGGCCAGGGGTACTTCCAGCAGCACCGAGGGGCGGGGCCGAGGAGGAGGGCCCGGAGCAGGAGCGGCGGAGAGGCGACCGGCTACACACGCGAGCGGCCCTGGGTTTGTTTTAGGGGCGGCCCTTGGTGCGCAACTCTCGGGGGGGGCTCAGCCCGAGCGCGCCGGCCGCTGCCCCTCGCCACGCAGGAGGGCCGCCCCGCACCCGAGGTCCCCCCGGCGAGAGGGCACTCCTCACCTTCTCCTCCTTCTTCTCATCCTCCTCCTCCTCCTCCTCGCCCTCCTCCTTCTCCTTCTTGTTATTGCTAGTGTGATTGTTAATGATTGTATGCTTCGTAATCTTATTATTATCGTTATGATTAGTATTAGTAGTATCATTATTCGTAATAGTATCATTATTGTTCTTATTATTCTGAATAGTAGTAGTAATATTGTTCGTAGTCTTCTTCTGAGTAGTAGTAGTAGTAGTATAATTAGTAGTATTACTTGTAGTCGCATGGATAGTGTTGTTAGTAGTGTTGTTATTGACTTTGTGATAATTCGTGTTATGCTAGTATCATTGTTATTATTGATAGTATTGGTATTGTGTACGCTTAGTTATAATAGTACTCTCATTAGTATTAGTAGTATTAGTAGTATGGTTAGTCGTATTGTTAGTTATACGATTATAAGTCGTAGTATTAAGATTAGTAGTGTTAGTAGTGTTACTCTTCTTATTAATAGTGTTCTTCTTGTTACTAGTATTACGATTCGTATGAGTAGAACTCGTAGTAGTCATATCATTGTGAGTATTACTGTGGTGTGGATAATAGTATCATCATTATTCGCAGTAGTAGCATGATCAGTCTTATTATTGTTAGTGTCAATATTCTTTTGATTATAACGTATACTACGAAAGGTAGTGTTAGTCTTCTGCATATTAGTGTTAGCATACGTCCTCTTATTAGTAGTAGTATTATAAGTGTTATCAGCATTCGACTTCTTATTAGTATACATATCCTTCTTAGTATCAATATTATTATTAGTATGAGTATTATTATGATCGTCCTCCTCCTCCTCCTCCTCCTCCTCCTCCTCCTCCTCCTCGTCATCATCATCATCATCATCATCATCATCATCATCATCAGCAGCAGCAGCAGCAGCAGCATCATCATCGTCAACATCATCCTAGCAGCGAGGAGGCGCGAGCGGGAGCCGGCGCTGCAGGAGCGGCAGCGGCAGGAGCGGCAGAGGGCGAGCGGCAGCGGCAGCGGCAGCGACAGCGACGGGGGGCGCGGGGGGGGCGCCCCGAGCGACCCGAGGAGCCAGCGGAAGCGGATGCGGGAGCTGCGCACCCAGGGGACCCAGACGATCTGGACGGCGACAGCGAAGACACGGGCACTTCCTTCCCGACCATCCTGCGGTTACGGGCCCTCGTTTTGCCGAGACAGCGCCCCGCGTCCTCTCCTCTCGTCCTCTCCTCCTCCCCCTCCTCCTCCCGCTCCCTCCCTCCCTCCCTCCCCCCTCCCATCCCGATGGCGCCGTCCGCATGGGTCCGCGCCGCCCATTTCGGAGCCCACCCCTCACACGCTTCTTGGCCCCACAGGGGGCTCCACATGAGGCCCCAGTCGCTGCGGCCGCATGCGTCCCCGTCATCCATTTTCGGCACACTACTCACACGCTCCGTGGACCAATAGGGAGCTCCACTTAAGGCTCCAGTGGCTGAGGCCGCATGCGTCCCCGCCACCAATTTTGGCGCACACCTCAAACGCGTCCTGGCCCCGTGGGAAGCTCCACGGAAGGACGGAAGGCCCCAGTCGCTGCCGCCACCTGCGTCCCCGCCACCCATTTCGGCACACCCCTTACACGTTTCGTGGCCCCCACAGGGAGCTCCACATCCCCGCCCATGTCGGCACACCCCTCACATATTTCGTGGCCCCACAGGGAGCTCTACTTCGGACCCTGTCGGCACACCGCACACCCCTCGTAAGTTTCGTGGCCCCGTAAGGAGTTCCACGTGAGGCTCCAAAGGCTGCGGCCGCATGCGTCCCCGCCACAAAGTTTGGCACACACCTCAAACGCGTCGTGGCCCCATGGGAAGGAAGCTACGCCGAAGGCCCCAGAGGCTGCGGCAGCATGCGTCCCAGCCACCAATTTCGGCACACCCCTGACACGTTTCGTGGTCTCATACGGAGCTCCACTTAAGGTTTCAGTGGCTGCGGCCGCATGCGTCCCCGCCACCCATGTCGTCACACCCCTTACACTTTTGGCTGTGCCCTTGAGCCCACCGAAGGTCCCGCAGGTTGTGTCCACATGCATCCCCCCCCCCAAACATCTCAACACACCCCTCGCTTCTTTCGCGGCCCCGTAGGGAGCTCCTCCGAAGGCCTCATTGGCGATGTCCACGTGCGTCCCCCCGCTCATTTCGGCGCACACCTCACACGATCCGTGGCCCCATGCTGAAAGCCCCAATGGCTCCAGCGAAGGCCCCAGTGGCAGGGCCCGCGTGGCCCTCACTCGCTCCCCCTCGCTCCCCTTGCTCCGCGACCCCCCGGTCCTTCTGCCGGGCCCCCCTCCTGCTTCTCACCCGCCGCGCGAGATTCGCAGCTGCACATGGTTGGGCCCTTCGCCAGGAGAACTGTTTCTATGAGTATCGTTTATCCGATCCCTATCCCCAGCGGCGTGGCCTGGGCCCCACTGGCCGATCTACCCCCCTGGATGGGGATATGGGCCGTTCCCTTCGAGTTTCGAGGGGCGCACCCCCAACTGGGGGGGTAATTTGGTGGGGGCCTCGAGGGGGATGGGCATGGGGACGGGGGTCGTTGAAACGATGCTGACTCTCGGGGAGCTGGGGCGAAACGAAGATCGCCACCATGTGTGCCTCGGAGGCGCCGGCGGCGCGGACCGGCCGGAGCGGAGAGGCGGCAGGCGGCAGGCGGCCGGGCAGCAGAGCGGCGGGGGCCGCGCGGGCCGCCGTGCGGCCCCGTCCTGGGCGGAGACGCCTGCGAGAAGCTCAGTCTCTGGCCTCGCCCCGCGCGCTCCGCGCGGGCACGAATGCGAGAGAAGGCAGGAGGAAAGGGAATGAGGGGGAGGGGGGGAGAGGAGGAGAGGAGAGGAGGAGGAGGAGGAGGAGGAGGGAGGGAGGAGGAGGAGGAGGAGAGGAGGGAGGAGGAGGAGGAGGAGAGAGGAGAGGAGGAGGAGAGAGGAGGAGAAGAGGAGGAGAGGAGGAGGAGGAGGATGAGAGGAGGGGAGGAGGGAGGAAGGAGGAGGAGGAGGGGGAGGAGGAAGGAGGGAGAGGAAGGGGGGAGGAGGAAGGAGGGAGGAGGGAGGAGGGAGGAGGCGAAACAGAGTCGAGCGAGGTGGGCGGGTCGGACGCCAGCTGCGCGCCTGCACCGATCCTGGCCAGGCCCCGCCTGGGTCCAGCGCCCCATTCTGCCTTGTTGGCCGGGGATGCCGCGGATCCTGCGCCCAGGGTGGACTTCCTGCGGCCTCTTGAAACCTCTTGGGCTTTCCTAATTAGGGTATCCTCAGCCCTCTTGGGGCGTCCTCAGCGTTCTGGAACTTTTTAAGTCGTTCAGGATACGCCCGGAGCGTGCTGGGATCTCCTGGGGCCTTGTGGGACCTCACGTGGCATCCTGGGACCTCCTGGAGCGTCCCGGAGCCTCCTTGGGATTCCCAAAGCCTACGGGGATGTCCTGAAGTCTCCTGGAGTTTCCTGATGCCTCCTGACGCCTCCTTGGGCCTCTTGGCGGGATTCCACGAAGCCACGCGCGGGGCCTCAAAATTGGCGCGACAGTTTCAAGGATGGGAGCCTTCCCGTTGAGAAAGAGGGCGCGGTGGACGTTGAAAAATGACGACAATGTCACACTCGAGGCCCAAAATCGTGCCGGGCGCACCCCGGCGCGAATCCCGGCCCTGCATAGTACTGTGCGATTTGTCCCCTCCCCGCTCTCCCGGATGGCTAGTTCCCTACCTAGGCTCTGCCTAGAAGGGTTCTTACTCTCTGGGCTCAAAGGGGCTGGGCAGTGGAAAGCGCCCCGGGCGGTTCCCCCAGTATCCGCCCCGCGGTTCCCCCAGTTACGTCCCCTTAGCTTAGCGTCGCGTATCTCATCTTAGCTTAGCTTATTTCATCTTAGCTTAGCTTAGCTTCATCTTAGCTCAGGTGTATCTTAGCTTACCTTACCTTCATATTTGCTTCGCTGAGCTTTAGCATAACAGAGCACAGCATAGCATAGCATAGCGTAGCATAGCAAAGCGCAGCACAGCATATCATAGCATGGCCCAGCATAGCATAGCATAGCGCAGCATAGCATAGCATAGCATAACATAGCGCAGCACAGTACAGCACAGCATAGCACAGCGCAGCATAGCATAGCATAGCATAGCAGAGCATAGCAGCAGAGCAAAGGCAAAGCAACAGCAGCGACAGCAAAGCAAAGCACAAGCAACGCAAAGCAAAGCAAAGCAAAAGCAAAAGCAAAGCAAAGGAAAGGCAAAGCAAAAGCAATGTGCGACAGTACGATCAGAGAGCCCACCCAGTGAGCGAGTGCAAAAACATGCGTGTGCGTGTGCGAAGGCAAAGCAAAAGCAAAAGCAAAAACAAGCAAAAGCAAAGGCACCTACGACGATGAGGAGAAGGAGAAGGACGGCGTTTACCGTTACTACTAATGCTGCTTTCCTAGGGGCTCCAACTCCTAGGTGGGTCGCACTGGGGTAATTTTATGATTTTCGCTGGTAATGAACACTTCCCCCCCCTCTCGGCGGTGACGGAGGGCAGGCGGCGGGGGAGGGCGGGTTGGCAGGGTGGTTGGTTGGGCACGGAGAGCAGGCGAAGGGGATGGGCGGGTCGGCGGGGTGACAGGGTAGGCGGCTGCGCTGGTTGGCTGACGGGTTGGCTGGGAGGCGGGGTGGCTGGGTCGGCTGGCTGGCTGGTTGGACGGGTTGGCAGGTTGAGCTGGCTTGGGCAATTGGTTCCGACTGCTACTACTACTACTACTACTACTACTACTACTACTACTACTGCTGCTGCTGCTGCTGCTGCTGCTGCTGCTGCTGCTACTACTACTACTACTA